AAAAGTGGGTATTTCACTAATCATGTAGTTGATAGAATTTTTATCAACTACACGATTAGTCGATAAAGAAGGTCACTCAGTCCTCACTTGTGCCAGATCCAGGAGCTACCCATTCTGTGGCTATGCATTTAAATGTAGTAAGAGCTGGGTGGGCAGGAGCTGGGACCCCCATGAACAGAGCTGCTGCTGGAGCAGCCTCTACGGGGTGTGCTGCAGGGCCAGCCTCTGCCCACAGCGGGCCCAGGCTTGCCATAAGGATAGGCTGCTTTGCGGCAGCCTCCCCTGCCCTCCTCCTCTGGGTGTGAAGGGGGGGTGGGCAGCACAGTGGACATGGTGCTGGGGGGGCTGGCTCTAGAAAAGTTGCACTGAGTTCTATAGGGATTAAAATATATTTTAAAAAAGTATAAAACAACCAATTTTACATGTTGTTATCAAAAACTGTATTGTAAACTATACTTTTGTTTCATTATTCTTAACAAATATGTACAAATTTTTTCTACTTCCAACTCTTGAACACGCAACAGAGTTGTCCATGTGAAAAGCAAGATGTCTCCAAATCAATTCCAACTACTTTAAGTCACTGTCCTTGCGCTTTGTCAGTCTACATTGTTGAAATATAAGTTGACAGTTGATATAACTGAGGTGAGGAGCCTGAGGGGAGGGAGGGAGAAAGGAGCTGCGCGTCTGCCACCGGCGCCCGAGCCCGCTCTCTGCTTCCTTGTCCCTCCGCTGGCCTTAGTGAGCGACTGGCCCTGCCGCTTCCCCCGGGAAGCCGCTTCTCCCTGGAATGCCAAGCTCCGTGTAACGCCGGGGAGAGGTGTCGGTCTCTCATTTTTTCCCTCCCACAGTTCCTTAAAACCTTCTCCGGCATAAAAGGTTATCGCATGCAAAGTTTGATTGCGGTAGCTTTTATAGTGTCCAAGTTATTAGCGCACAAACATACAAACATTCTCCTTTCTATATTAGATAAGTTGGAGGTATTTACATTTGAAAAATAATGATTGAATAAATGCAGTAATAACGTCTCAAAATGTGAGAGAATTCAATAAGTACTAGCTGTTTGAAAATGCAGCAATCAGTCATGGCAGAGATGGTAAGACTCCATGCAAATGGATTAAGTTGATTAGTCTATTTAGACAACAAAACCTACATTTTTTATGGCTCTAGGTAGGTTTTTAAAAATAAAATAAAATTCTAAATTTAAAAAATGACTCATTTTGGAAACATAAAATGTTATGCTTAATTCTTTGACTTGTACCAAAGGTCCACATCAGGGCTACTCAACTTTGGAAGCCTGAGGGGCTACAATGATACTCACAGCACAATTGTGCCGAGCACCACAACTTAAGTGTGGTTGCATATACATGCGAATATATATGCAAATATATGTAAATAGCTTCTTTCACATTGATGGGCATGAATACAAAGATTAAGTAAGGCAAGGCTACACAACACACAGGCCCCATTTAAGTCAGTTCTGCTGATATTAATAAAATGCTATATTTACCCGATTTCCACCGATATGACATCACTTTTAATGAGCAATGACAGTCCAGGAATTTAACTACTAAAATGCATAGCAACAGAAGACCATTATATTGACTACTTTTTTGTTTTGGCTCCCACCTGCGGGCTGTGAGTTGAGCCCTGCATAAACCAAAACTGCATTGCAGGCTGCAAATAAACGGGCCGCATGCAGGCCACGTGTTGAGTAGCCCTGGTCTACATGTTTTTTCAGAGAGCAGGGAGCAAGCATGGTTGCAGTAAAATGATACATCTGTTGATGTATCATACCTTTCATTGCATGGCTAGTGCAACACTTTCAGTTTCCCTGCTTCACTGAAATTAATGAGAAGCTTGCCCCAGGGATTTTATTGGGACCATGCACAATGGAAATTGAAATAAAGTGCTTTATACTTGTTATTGCTTTATCACTCTTTAATTTATTTATAAAGTGCCTTGAAATAAATTTGATATGGACTTTTTCTGTCTCTACCATATGGTTACAGACCTAGGGTTGATCATTATGAGAATATCTATCTTCAGTTCCTCTCTGTTCCTTCTGAAATCAAGAGCAGTTTTCCAAGAACAGATATTTCTAAGAAGAAACACTTTTTTCAGGATTTGCTGAGGCTTTTACACATTGCTGCAGAACCTGTGAATGCTGCTGTAGTTCAGTGCACAGGATGTTAGCCTGCTACGGGGTGACAACCAGTGTTCCAAGACCAGTAAATTATGATACCTGTATATGTGCTCAAACCCTGGCAGCTGACCACTAGTTAAATTATTATACTAGGGGGTCTCAACATTTTTTTTCTGAGGTCCCCGCTGCATGCTGTAAAAACTCCATGGCTCACGCACTGGTTTTTTGTATATAAAAGCCAGGGTAAGCAATGGGTGTATGCAGGACAAATTTCCGGAGCTCCACGCCATGATGCTAATTTGTTCAGGCTTCGATTTCAGTTCTAGATTGTGGGCTCAGGGCCAGGGAGTGGGGCTTCAGCCCCATGTGGTGGGACTTCGGCTTTCTGTTCTGGGCCCCCAAAAGTCTAATGCTAGCTCTGCTTGTCAGCCCCCTGAATCCTGCTCACAGGCCCCAGGAGTCTTGGACCCCTGGTTGAGAATTGCTGTACTACACAAATGCAATTTAGATTAGCACTAGAAGATGAAGAGGCTTTGTAATACTTGCTAATAATGAGTGTATTACAAGTATTTGTAAAATTGTAACAAGTCTGACACATTCAACGTTAGGCCTCTTAGGAATGCATCATAATATCTGCCTCCACTTGGATCAAGTGAGCAAGCCAGTCACACACAGACCGTCTTCTAGCCCAGTACAAATAACATGCTTCAGTTTATTTTTGGAGATCTGTAGTGCTGTCCAGCTTTCTTCTATTACATAGGCTACAGTAATAGCATTTTGACTTTCCTGTTAATTGAGATGAGGTTGCACTGTGGTAATTATCCCATTTTAACAATGAGTCTCACTCCACTCAGCAGCTCTTGTCCATCAGGCCAAACATCTGCAAACACATCCTGCTGACTATCACCCTGTTTCCCGGGGAACCATGCTTCAGTTCCTACCATCACGCTCTGAAGAGTTCATTAAACATTTTTTAAAAAGTGGCTTGAAAGAGGAAGTTCTCTGTGTTGATCAGATGTCACCTGTAGATTGTGTATATATTCAGCACAGCAATGTGACTGCCAGGAAATATATGATTCATTAAAAAAATTCAGGGAGTGGGAGCAAAATGGAGAAGTGAGCTGCTGCTTTTTTTTTTATTTAAGTGTTAAATGGTATTGTTAATGTCTCAAACTTCTTCCCCTACCCACGTCACTTCCCAGTTCCGTGGAACTCATGTGGCAGGTTCAATGCACAATTCATCCTTTCATTTGTAATTGAAAAGCCAGAACGGCTTTTATTTATGTTCATATTAATCAGGACTGGAGAATAACTAGGATGCTCTGACTCTGCTGGATTATTTGTCTTGAAAACACAGTATTAGTGAAAGGCTGAAGAACCCCTTTATTCTGGGGCCATTTCTTGTTATAATTTAGGGTTTTGCCTAAATAAAAATAACTAAGAATAATCACCACAAATCCACTAGTGTCTTTCTTCTCTTGGGGGGGAAGTCTGATGTATGAATCAGCAGCCAGTAACCTCTCCCTGTGACAGTTTAAAAGTCTGGTTTATGCTCCAGATTCTTCTCTCAGTTCAACTGGTGCAAGCAGATTGAAGTCAGTGAGGCTTTGATTCAGTAAGATTGTACCTCGGTACCTGAGAGGGAGAATTTCAACAACCACTTGCTGCTCGGCCATGAACCTTCCATCTGTTACTTGTACAGTCTCATTATCATTCTTGGACTCTTGCAGTTTCATTCCTATACTTTTCTATTACTCAACCTTATCTAAAGTTTTAAGAATTATAAATAAATATTAAATATGATTATTCATTATGCTTCTTTGTTTATGCCAGGGATGGGCAAGATAACCTCCATGAGCCGGATTTGGCCTGCCAGGTCCTTTGATCCGGCCTGCGGCCGCGTTGCCACTCCCCCACCACCAGGCCAATTGAGACCTGGGGATGGGGGAGCACATGAAGTTTCCACCCCCCTTCCAGAGGTGTGCGGCACCTAGAGGGAACCGCCAGATTTTTGAACAGCTGGCTGTTCTCTCTAGACACCACAGGCCCCTGGCAGGGCGGGGATGAGGGACAAAGACTTCAAGTGCTCCCCTGCCCCCAGGCCAATCAGGGTCTGTGAGTAGGGAGCATGTGAAGTCTTTGACCCCACTCCCCGCCCTGGCCCTTCCGGGGCGGCCCATGACCACTTCTGAAATTCATGGAGTGCCCCCCCCCTTCAAAAATTATCGCCCACCCCTGGTTTATGCACACAGACATTTTACTTAAAAAATATCTGTATCCCTAGCTCTAGTTTAAATACTAAAATGATGCAGTAACTTTGTTCTTTGAACTTTCATCATGTAAAGGTTCATCAATTGTTCCTAAATTTAAAATAAGGAGCTAGTAAAGGCATATAAGTGGCAAAGGAAATTTGTGGGACTTTCTCTTGCATATCCGTCAAGTAAACAGTATACGCAGCATTTTGTTTGGAGAAGAATATACAGTGTTGTTCAACTCCAAATGTCATTAAGCTGGCATTATAAAACTTGGGTTAGGAAAAGTTACATCTGCTAATGTGTCATAAATAAAGCCTTTCCAGCCCAGATATTGCTTTCCAATGAAGAAATCCAATGTGCCTGTCATTGCATAGGCCTTCCTCTTTCTCTTTTGATTTTCATGTTTCACAGACCGTTGAAGGCACTTGTGTCCTGTTTCTCTAGAATTTAATATTTTATGTAAAGCTATTTATGAGCATTTCTTATAGTAGCAGATAAAATAGTAAAATGACACATGAGTTCCCTTGAAGTGTTATTTTCAGAATATGTTTAGTCCTATAAGACAACCTGCAAATTAAAACTTAGTCTCCTTTGATTTGTAGATTCAAGAGGCAGCAAGTCAAGGCTTGAAGTTTGTTGGAGTTATACTTCAGTACAGTTCCCAAGTGAGCCTGCAGGCCAGCACCACTGTGGCACCCACTGGTAACAATTCTACACAACCACAGGATGTAAAAAATACATCAAACTCTCCAGAGGATCGTGCTTCACTAGATAGGAAGAAAGTAGATGGCGCAAATGGATGCAGTGCACCAGTCCCAAGTGAGGAAAACGCTGACCAGAGTAAAGAGCCCATTGAGGAAGGAGGAGGGGAAGAACTAGATGCTGGGCATCTGAGCTTAAACTCTGCAGGAGAGAATGGAGAGCAGTTTCAAGGAGAGAGTCCAAGCGTTTCACCAAGTCTCAGAGAAGCAACTGACAAGCAAGAAGGGGTAGCACAAAGTGACGCAGAGGCATTGCGTGCAGAACCACTTACTGAAAGTAAGTACAGCAGTGACCGCTGATATGAATAAGCAAGTTTTAAACTGCCCTTGTTATGTTCACAGCATCTTGAAAAAGTGAATGTAGCATTGCAACAGGGGAAAGGTGCACACTATGAATAAGAAAACCTTTTAACCCACTTTTTAACTTGGCTGCACACTTCGTGATCATTTAAGCATAGGTTTTTAAGCATTCGTAGGAGCAATAGACGATCAGGTGCAACTCCATTGTGACCAGTTAGGTTTTTCCTTCTGTACTCTTTTAGTGGGGGTTGTCATTTTCAGGCAGCAGCTGTCACCTCAGATTTGGACTTCCTTCTTTGGCTTGATTTTTGCCTCTATCATGTGGAAAGTTCATGTGCTTGCTGTTAACCTGGATGTGTTGCTACTGCTCCCTGCTTGTGATCTTAAAGCCCCCATCTTAAAAGGCAGTAATGTGCCTGAGAAGGCTTTATAGGTCTCTGTAATAGATTCATAGAATCATCGGGTTGGAAAAGACCTCGGGAGGTCATCAAGTCCAACTCCCTGCCCCAAAGCAGGATTAACCCCAACTAAATCATCCCAACCAGGGCTTTGTCAAGCCGGGACTTAAAAACCTCTAGGGCTAGAGATTCCACCAGCTCCCTAGGTAACCCATTCCAGTGCCTCATCATCCTCCTAGTAAATAGTTTTTCTTAATATCTAGCCTAGGCCTCCCTCACTGCAACTTGAGACCATTGCTCCTCATTCTTTCATCTGTCACCACTGAGAACAGCCTCTCTCCATCCTCTTTGGAACTCCCCTTCAGGTAGTTAAAGGCTGCTATCAAATCCTGCCTTACTCTTCTCTTCTGTCACAAATGGAACAATCCTCAAGTCCGTTCAGTGTATGTCACCACCATGGTAGATGAACAGATAGCGGAAGATAAACCAGTCCAAGAGTTCTGAGAACACAGAGGATCAAGACTCTCGGATGGGTGTGGAGATGGTAGTTGTAGATCTCCATTTGGAACAGATAGCTGTAAGTGGAAAGGTGTTATTCATGGTAAATGTTTATTCTCATAAATTAATGACATTTGATCATTTTCAACTTTTTATTCTCATGTATTTGTTAGTAGAGGGTACTTCATCATAAACTATTTTCCTACATCAGATATGTTGTCCTGCAGTTGCACTCTTGTATTTTAAATGTGTCATTTGCACCACTAAAAACCCCCCACACCTTGGCAAGGAACTGCCCCTAGTATCACTATTTGAACTGTTTACTTCTGCATGAGGTATGCAATTGCTTCACCTGCAACTACAAATAAAGGAACAAGTTAGAACAAGTTAGAAATGCACAGTGTCATTGGAGGGAAGGAAGTGTTGATGCCTACCTTTTCCCAAATTATTCTGAATTGAAACTCATGACTAACTATTAGACATTACAATATTTTCCCCTTTCTTAGTTCTTATAAAACAGTTTTACATACTTTCTCATACTGCTTTGCTTAGTTGTCCATTTGGTATTAGTTACAACTTTGTTCAAAGATATTCCACCTAAATTATTTTCAGAACCATCATAATCTTGTTTGTCATTTATTCCACGCTCATCCAAACTGTTCTGTTCCTTTTAGGATTTTGTATGATATGGTGACAGTGACTTCTGAGCCTTCTCTATAGAATATTGGCCTGATTTCTTTTGCATTGGGAGGGTATAGGGAAGTTGCTGAATCAAATTGACCACTTTTTGCTGTACTTTCCTCATTATTTTAGGGTTTATACTATGGAGTTATTTCAAAATAACTCCCCTTATTTTGAATTAACAAGTGGATCATCCATACTAGCAAGCCATTATTTCAAAACCCCTGCTTTCCATAAAGAATAATGCTAATTTCGAAATAGTTATTTTGAAATATTGGTAGTGTGGATGCTCCGATACCACTGTTTCAAAATAACTACTCCCCAGAGTAATCCAAACTAATTACTCCCTAGTGCTTCCTGTGGTTCTAAGTTGAGGTAGTGCATCCATATTAACAGAGCCTCTTTAGGACTAATTTCATGGTATTCCCACAGTGTAGACATGCTATTTTGAAATTATTCTTTTGGGAGCTATTATTTCGACATAAGTTATTTTGAAATAATTTCCTAGTGTAGACATACCCCAAAGCAGCCAGTTTTTGCAAAGTGTATCCCAAAATGGTTGCATTTGTCTCTTATCCTCCATTGGCATAATTTATCCATATTTGTGTAAGGCATTTACACATCTCACTATTGTATCTACATTTGCAACTGCTTCTAAATAAGGGATACATCCAGTTCAGCCACCAGATTACTCTCTTGCGTGAGAGTACTTTTGAGAATATTCATTCCCATGTTTTCTTTTTCCTTATGTTTACAGTTTTCTACACTGAATTGTGTGAGCCTCTTATTGCATTTGCCCATTCTTGCAGTCTGTGCAATGTATTGTGAAGTTTATCAGGTCATTGGATACATAGAGTGAGGGAAAAAATGTTCCTGGTTTCCTGAAGGGCACCACTTGTCTGTCTGTCTGTCTGTCACAAACTATTTCCATTTCCTAAATTCCACCTGTCTTTGGACTCAGATAGTTCATCTGTGCTTTTTAAGGCCTTCTTGAAACCCCAGCCCCTGATTCACTAGACAAGATCTTCAGTTTTTCAATCTTTGCTGACATTCTTTAACTTCTTTCCCTGAGTGCTTTTTTATTTGAGAGTACCTCTCAGACAGTAGACAGGATGAGCAATGCTTCCATTATCCAAAAATGGGGATCTGAGAAAACAGTTTTATGAAGTAACTCACCTGTAGCTGGCTTTTTCCAAATATATTGTCCCCACCACATAGCTGATTTCTTTATTACTCTTGGGTGACCTTGAGTAGTTTCAGCACTTCCTTTTCCTTTCATGGAAAATGAATCTCAGTCTTTGGCATCAATCCTGCATCCTCCCTAGTGAACACCAAATCCTTCCATAATTGTTATGTTGTCTCCCTTTTCTTTCACCAGACAATCCTTGTTCTATCTTGGACTGCTTCTCCTGAATTTAGCCTTTTAGAGAAAAGTTGTAGTACTTGTTACAGTTTGTGCAGTCTTCATTTTCTTATTTAATTTAGGATCTGCCTACACTGTTGCTGGAGGTATCATTTCCAGCTTGCATAGTCTTACCCCAGCTAGCTTCAATTGAGCTAGTGTGCTAAAAACAGCACGGTAACTTCAGTGATAAGGGAGACGGGGGAAGCTATCTACTCAAGTACTTGGGTCTTGGTTGGGGTTGTACTCAGGCAGCTAGCTTGTGCCACTTCTGAAGCTTAATCAAAGCTGGCATTTGTATGTCAACTAAGCTGGAATAACATTTGCAGCTACAATATAAATGAACCCTTAGTGTTTCTCATTCTTGCTTTCTTCAGTGTCATTCTGATGCTTGCCAATCTGTGTCTTTGCCTGATATTTTTCTCATTTTTGTATTACTTTTTGCATATCTTTATTTATCCACATTGACCTTCTTCTATTCCCATGTGCATGTATTGCCAAAAATTCTATATATCCCACAGGCGCACAGTGCTTTCTTACAGGATATTCTTCCAAGTGCTTTTCCCACATCTTTGTTTGGTCATCTAGCTAATTTCCCTTTCACGTAGAAGGCTGTCTCTTAACTTTATTATCTGTTTCTATTGTTACATTCTTGAGCCAACATGCCTATTTTTATACCTGTGAAGAGCCAACTCCCAGCTTAGTTACACAATTAATATGTCGTAGTTGAACATCTCTCTCTCCTGATTTTTTTCTTTGCTGAATTCTGAATTTCAAAAGAAATGAGACACAGAATTCAGCAAAGAAAAAAAATTTCCCTTCTATTTGAATACCTGTCAATAATTATGGCTTTCATCAAGGTGTCCTCCAAACCTGGAATAAAAATGATTTTAAATGCACATGTCATCAGGATAAATATTTTGAGTACTGTTTCAGAAAATACCATGCTTTCTGAAATTGTACTGAAGGCAATTTTGACCTTTTTATACTTTGTTACAAGTCATTGTCAACAATGGTCTTTTTCCAAGTGTAGACAGTACTTATTTTGGTATGAGGTTAGTTCTGATTAGTCACATCAAGGGCCTGTCTAATGTCTATTTAGGCTAATGACAGAATCCTCCTGACCACAAATGTGTGTAGCATCAGAGCTGCACAGCTCAAAACCAAATCAGAATAGCTTGCTCCCTACTTCCCCTTTTTACCAAGTTTAATCAATTATCAAATCCACACAAAATCTTCTCCATTTTTTTCTATCTTTAATAATGATGTCTATTATCTCTCAACAGTTAACATCTCTCCTGATTTTATTCATATTCTCTGTTTACAGGATCTTTTTGAGTAATACACTTTTTGAGTCACCTTATCATCACTTTGTTCTTTCTAAACAAATGGTGTGTATTGAGTGAATTCCTGTTAACAGCTCTTTCTCATTGCTGGTATTAACTTTGAGTTATATCTCTTCTCTGCATCTCCTTCCTCCAGGACCTGTTGTTTCCCAGCCTTCCTTTATATAGAGAGAGTACTGACCTCTTCTCTGGTTACATGCTCTATATTTGATTAAACCTTCACTTGCTTTTTGCTTCCCACCATGTTTACTTTAACCAGGCTTTAGTTTAGTCATTGGCATTCATTCTTGTGAAACCCAGCTCCATCATCCTTGTTCATATTGAGTACAGTAGTAACTTATTCTCAATTGTGCCTTTTTGCTTTGGCATAAATATGGAGGAGTTTTTTGGTGACCTATTCGTAATAGACTTAATGCACATTAGTGAACCAGTATGGGGGAAGTCTGTGTTGTATCTTTTATTATTCATGGAATCAGTCTCCAGACTCAGGTGCTGCAAATAAATTCACCAGCACTATGTTCAGTCAAATAAACCAGAAGACATACACAAAACTCTGCTACCGGTTGCTTTCAGTGCCCTGTACAAACTCTCCTTCTTTTTTGACAGATCCCTTATGCCTCCTGCAAGGCTTTCTTTCTCGACAGATCCCCCTCTAGACTGCCTCTTTTTGCAGACAAAGTGCTGAGTCTGCAAAAACAGTGGCTATTTTTATGCAAATTAAGCGTGGGATATTTAAATCCCCACTTCATTTGCAATGTTGACCTGCCTAATCTGCATCCCTCTGCCGACAGAGGGATGCAATCTAGACATACCCTTAGGTCTCTCTCGTGGAGGCCTCATTGTGGACCCTATCAGAGTCACTCTCTGTTTAGTAACACCTGGGATTAGAAGATATTACCCTGCCAATATTGCATGAGAGTCTTCCAAGTAAATGGGCTTCCTGAATTTTTTATTATATTTATTTCCTTTGTAAAAATCAGTTCAATTGGGGCTCTTTCCTGCTGTGTTTGAAATCAATGGGAGATGTACCACTGACTTCACTGGGCCATTAATCAGGCTATTAATATGTATAATAACAACAATACATGAATATTTTTAATTTTAGAAATTTTACTGATGAGTTAGTGTTCCTTCCTTCCTGAGAATTTTGATTATATCTTTAATTTCTACTTAGTCCCAATACAGCAGATGTGTGTGATGATTTTGTTGCCTAAAGTGACTTTGTGTACCACTGACTTCACTGGGCCATTAATCAGGCTATTAATATGTATAATAACAACAATACATGAATATTTTTAATTTTAGAAATTTTACTGATGAGTTAGTGTTCCTTCCTTCCTGAGAATTTTGATTATATCTTTAATTTCTACTTAGTCCCAATACAGCAGATGTGTGTGATGATTTTGTTGCCTAAAGTGACTTACCTAATGATGAGATTACATTCACCGCTATTCAGGTGGGATGGAAGCTATATCACATGCACCAATGTATAGCTACTATCCTCAACTTTAAGGATTTTCACAGTTCCACTTTTCTCTACTCAGCTGCTCATCTCTTACTGCTTTGCTTCTTCCCAGACACTGAGTAAATCAACTATATAACCCATTTGGCCTCCCTATTTGTTTGATTCACTGTGCGTTCCTGATTTCCATTTGCCATTTCTATGTGCAACCCATATAACATCAAAATAAGTCATATACTTCTTTAGTTGGAGGTCGCTTCATTGGAAATGCACCTTGCCCTAAATTTGCAGTAAAATCTCAGCTTACACAGAGGCAAACAAGTACAGTATACAGTTTGGGTGAATTTACTAATACTGTAGTATATTAATGCTACAATGATAAATTCTACTAATAAAGCTCATTTGATTTTACTCTGTTATGTATTTATGCTAGTAGACTTGTCCCTCTGAGAGGGAGCTCCATATAACAACTTGTAAATTTTTATATTTATGATAAAGCCACAGTCTGAAGTTGGGACCCCATTGTGCTGGGCATTGTATAAACATGTAAAGGAGATGACCCTGCTCTGAAGGGTTACAATAGAAAGACAAGCAGACAAGAGGGGAAGGATGTGATTCTGATAGCTATAAGAGGGAAGAATAATACTAATATCACAATATGTTTGTTATAGTATTATTGTTTATAAACCCTTTTTTAGCAATGGAAATATTTGCTATCTTCAACAAGCCAAAAACCCAACAAAGATGCTGCCAATACTACAGTGTGATGATACCTATGAAGATCTCCAAAAACGGGCAGATGGTCAACAACTTAGAAGCAAATTGGCTGGAGCACATGACAGATCACTTCAGGAAAGGAGGCTTGCTGGTGAACGCCATCTTCAGCCTTGGAATGGTAAATGGTATGGAATTTCCTGAAAGCACTACTCTGTGACTCTCTTTCTCATTTTCCTTTAAAGGGGCTTGCTATATTTGAAGAGAAGACATTTGGTAGGTGTTTTTAGAGTAAGCCAAAGCAGATTTTGTTTTGGATCAGCCTATTTCAGTGATGGAAATAGCCAAGTTTGGTTATTGACTAAGGAAACCTGAGATCATGCCTGATATTTTATATACATTGTAAAGATGCTTCTGCAATTGCAGAAGTACACAAACACAGATAGCATCAGCTTATTTATATGAGTCACTTTTTGATCCTTAAAATAGCATTTAACAAAGAATAGTCTGTTTTTTAACCACATTCTGGAATCACATGCCATATGTGCAGATTACTTGTATATTCCACCCCCACAGCAGCCTGTGAAAGAGTAGTATCTCAACGCTTTAAAGCAGTTGAAATAAACTAAGGGAGGCATTTCTATAAACTGCCCTGCTGTACACTGCTTCTGGTCTGAGTGTAGATCACAGCATATACAGCATTGATTCTGTTTATTCATTATCTAATCAAGCTGGCTAGGTTCTTATGGGCACCCATTACCTGAGTACAGGCAGTCCCCGGGTTACATGGATCCGACTTACATCGGATCCCTACTTACAAACGGGGTGAGGCAACCCCGCACTAGCTGTAAGACGCGAAGCTAGCGCCCCCCCCAGCAGACCAGGGAGAAGCGGAGCGGCTTTTCTCAGCAGACACCTCAGTTTGAGAATAAAGGACTGAGAGAAGTGAGGTGTGGGAGAACAAAACTGAGCTCTGGAGAAATGTTTGGCTAGATTTTCCCCTACAATATGTACCAGTTCCGACTTACATACAAATTCAACTTAAGAACAAACCTACAGTCCCTATCTTGTACGTAACCCGGGGACTGTCTGTACTTCACAAAATTATAAAATTTACATATAAATCTCTCTTTTACTTTGTCTTCTCCAGTCTGGAGTGTGTGATAGAGTGTTTTCTTGATAATACAATGAGAAGAGTACATTAAAGAAATTGGTGGGGGGTTTTTTCTCAAGATTAAGCATCATGATCAGGATCTGAACCCTAATATCTTGGTACCATAACCAGTTCCTAGAAAAACATGGCTACAATACTTCACTTAAAGTTGGATCCTCAGCCCTGTTACAGAAAAGGACAGTATTGATTTAGGTGTCAGGACCCAGAATGGGTGGGAAGGAAAGTATTAATACAAAAAAATGGTTTCGATGATAGACAACAAACACACACTCTAGGAAGAATATGGTACTAGTCCTCTCCCAACTAGGGATGTTAAATATCGGTTAATTGAATAGTCGAGTAACCTCATAACATTTTATTGGTTAGTCGACTATTCTATAGTCCCCAAAGGCAGGGCCATCAACCACTGTATCAGAGGCAGCAGCACGGGGTACCAGGTGGGATAGGTTTGCAAGGGGAGCCAGTTTAAAAAACAGGTCCCCTCACAGACTGGCTGCCTATCGCCCTGTGTTGCTGCTTCTGAGAAGAAGGCAGCAGTGCGTAATGGCAGCAGTCCTTGTCTAGGGAGGTCGGAGCTCCTGGACATGGCGCAAGCCAGAACTGAGCCTGCCCACCTGGCTCTTAATACACTTGAAATGCAGAGCTGAAACAGGAGTAGGTCCTGGACCCGGCATGAGCCAAGACTGAGCCAGGCTGCCTGCCCACCCAGCTCCTAATACACTTTAAAGGCAGAGTCGCAGCAGGGGTAGGTCCCAGACCCCTCGCAATCCAGGACTGAGCCAGGCTGCTGGCCAGCTTGCTAAAAAATTTACTGGCAGGGAGAGAGGGAAATGCGTGTTGTATATAGCATTAACCTATAAGCTTTTGCTAATCAGGGCGGGGGGGGGAGGGAGCAGGAGCCACTTCAAACTAGGACTAATCTTGGCTGCTTAGCCAGCCTGCTAAAACATTGACTGGCAAGGGGTGGGGGGAAGTGTGTGTAGTGTCTATAGCATTAACCTATAAGCTTTTGCTAATCAGTTAATGGACTACACTATTACATCCCTACTCCTAACTAGAAAAGTAAGGGCCTGATTCTGTGAATGGTTAGTGCCTTTGTATTCTACTGACTTTATTGAGTTTGCTTAACCTCTTATCAGTAGCTACTTGGTAACTCACTGGATAGAGCCCTGATTTGGGGGCACAACGTCTGTGGCAAAGTAAGACAAGGGCTGCTGCCAGAAGTTTTTCTTCCTCTTTTGCTGCTGAGAGAAGTCTGTTGGCCAATGATAAAATACAAGAAAATGTAATTTATCCTGTTAAAATTCAATTTGGACGTTAAGAGTCAGTCCTAATTTTTTATTCTGTAGCAAATAGCAGTGAAAAGAAGGTCCAAAGTTCACATGATGGAATGCTTTCTCAGAGCTTCCTGGCAAGTCCTATAACTGCTAGTTAACTTGTTTAGAAACAAATGGTCATTTATTTTGTGTATTTATATAAATTGCAGTTTATAAAGTATGAGTCACTGAACCTGATATGCCCAATTTTGTCTGCTTTTTAATACAAGTATTTATTCCTGGCCCCTCATCGGAGTACTGTTCAATGCCTTACATAAAGAATATGAAAAAAAAATTCTGTTATTTAAACATTAAAAGTGCTTTTAAATAATATTGCTGTGGGGGAGGTTCATGCACTCAGAAATCATTGAGGAGTGCTTGGGAAATCCCTGCACATAGAGATGAAGAGGGAGTGGAGGATGAGTCTTAAATGTTGTTTGTTTCCTGAACAAACAGAATAGTAGAGTTAGCTTAGAATTGTTTAAAAATGGCCAGACCTAGAGTTAAACTAGACACAAGATTGTAAAAACACCATTAATTTATAATATTATTAGAATTGTATAATTGTGAAAGCAAAAAGTTTGAAAATCAAGAAAAAGGTATAGAAACAATGAGTTTAGATCATTATTATCAACTTAATCTAAATGTCACAAGATTTAGAAAATAGTCAAGTGTCAACACCATCCTTAACTCTGCCCTTTATCTTTGATCACTTTCAGTTATGGGCCATAAACCGTAACTGTATAAACTGTGGCTAAACCCAGTAGGTTGCAGCTAGAGGCCTGCCCCTTCACTACTGTCATGGTAAAGTTCAAAGACTACAGCATCTAGGGTGCCCATGCATCACCATCAGATGATTGCAATTGACTCTACCCATTTAATCTCACATATTGGTCAGAAACCTCATATTCCAAATACAGGTCAGAAGTCAATTCTTCTATATTCATAACAAATTAGTTGTGTTCTCTTCATATTGTAAATCCCTTCTAAGATCTCCTGTGCCCAAGAAAAGTGGAGTTGGCTCTGGTACGCATTTGGCCTATTATCTTGCAATATTATCAACTAGTGGGGCTGGGATTCTTCTCACTTATGCTGAATTTGTGTGAGAGATTAACCAAAGGCTATGACACAGTTCAGATGCCAGGTAGAGTTTATGCCAATATCTTTCACTCAGTAAGAACAGTAGCAACATAAAGGTTAGCTTCATAGATGAAGTGGCATAATAGTTCAAAGACAGCAGTGGAAAAATTGTTGCCCACTAGTATAGCTGTCATGATAAAATAAGAAATCTTTTTTTCCATACCCTTCATTTAATTCACAAGCAAGAACATTACAACAGCATTTTGCCAACAAAACTGCATTAAATATTTATACGTTCAAGTGAAAATAGCTTTTTGTGCACAGTGGGGGAGAATCTTTACCTTAATAAAAAATGCAGTGATAATGGACCATTTGCTGGTGAAGGAGGGTGATTTAACCTTTGTATTCTGAGCCCTCGCTCTAAGAAAGAATGAAGTTACATGAGTTAGGAGAATGGAAAGAAAAAAATGACACCTTGAATCAGACAGAATTGAAACTGGGTTTGTTTTAATAGCATGACCAGCTATGCAGCCCAAGGAACCGTTGCTAATGGAAATGGCACAGTGTTTAACTGCAGCACCGGGCTTGCTAACTCAGTATTTGTGAACTCACTAATTGAATATAATACACTGACTTCCACGAGATTAATCACACTAATGAAGAGATTATTGAAAGATGAAAATAACACACAGACATGAGGGAGAAGATAAAATTTCTGGCTTGGCAGATGGTGTAACTACTGCAGACTACAGCAGAAATTATAAAAGAGAGTCTTTGTTGTGTGGACTGCTAAGTTTTGGATGGATGATTTTTTAGACTTGAGACATGATGGTTCTCTTCCAGAACATACATGTGTTTGCGCACTAGGGTAAATACTTAAACACATGAGAATGGCCATACTGGGTCAGACCAAAGGTCCATCTATCCCAGTATCCTGTCTTCCGACAGTGGCCGATGGCTGATATATGTACTGTATGTTGAGCTGGATATATAAATTCCAGCTTGAGGAGACATACCCATGCTAGCTGTGACCAAGTTAGTGTGCTAAAAATAGCGTAGCTGTAGCACTGCAAGCTGGAGGCTGGGCTAACCAACCCAGGTCCCAGATGCTCAGAATGTACTTGGGGTGTCTAGTTCCTCCTGCTGTCCCTGCTACTATGGCCATGCTCTATTTTTACTTTGCTAGCTCAATTAGAGCTAGTGTGGGTATATCTACTCAAGTTGGAATTTACAACTCCAGAGCAAAGTGCTGATGTACTGTTAGTAGCTTCAATAGGTGGTGCTCATTGTACTCAGCAAGGGCTCCTTGTATCCCTCCATTTCCCCTGCCCCCAAGCTCCCTGTGTGATTCCCTTCCATCCTGCTTTATTTCAGGGACTCACTTCAGCTTCCTCCACTCCTTCCCCATATGCTGTCAATATTATGTGTCCTCCATTCCCTTCTCCTCCCACAGCAGTTGCTCTGTGCCCCATGCTTCTTTTTCCTTCCCACCCTATCCCACATCCCCCCTTTCTTTACCCATGCCTGTCTCTGCCATCCTTCCATCACGCACATGCTATTTATCTTCTCCACCTCTGCACAACATGCCATAAGTGGCACATGACCAGGATTTATCACCAAATTTGGTTTGCTAGTTGAATCATTAGCTTCCCTGGGTTGGGCTGGGTACTGACGGGAAGTGCAATGTGAACGCTTATCCATGCCCCCTCCCCCGTTTATTTGCATATGTGAGTGCTGTGGATTGTTCATGAAGAGACAGTTGTGCAGTGGAATGGAGCACAGATAATGATTTAAGAGTAGGCTCAGATGTGCATGTGCTGGTTTGTTCTGACCCCTCCAATAGGGGTCGGTGAACAGGTTGAGACCATAGTAATTCAAGATATGAAAAGGTATCTCATTGGATTTTTGTAGGGAATACACATAACCTGCACAAAGCATCTCCCAAATATAACCTTTCTCTTGTATCATTTAGACCAGGATATCATTAGTTCGTTGACAACACTTTGTTTTTTTGGCTATCCCCTCCATTATCATTGCCTGTTTGGCATCAGAACAGAGGGGTGACTAGAACTGTTCCTTTTTAACGGAAGAGGTTTTTCTGCCTTTGTGGTTTCAAAAAGTTGTATCTTTTCAAAAACTTCAATCAAAAACACGTATAATATTAACTCCATGTAAATCTCTTCCCTGCCAAACTTATCAGACTGAGTCATAGGAAAATCCATTTCCAAGGTTTGAGAAGTGAAATAAATCAGGGCCACAGATTTTGGAGCTTTCTTGCTGTGCATTCCATTTTATTTTTTTCCACTCCTCTACATGGCTCTGTTTATCCTGAAGTGTATTTACTGAGCCTCACTTAACCCCCTTCCTCCATTTTTGTTCTGTGCTTTGTTTACAATGTAGTAATCTGGCTAGTGGCTCCCTTTGGATACAGTTCCATTGCCTTTGATACTGTCTTCGGTTGGTGCTTTCTTGAATTCCAATTAGTGTAACTGTTTATAGGTGGCTCCCCATCCAAAAAAAGAGGTGTTTTATGCAAAGAAGTTGTGCAGCTTGGCCAAAATGGAATCGAAAAGCTTCTGTTTCCAGTGCCTGGAAGAGGCAATACAATGAGGTTTTCCTAATATTTGCTCTATGTTGGAGACATATGCCAATGTACAGGCAGATATTTTTCTTATATATACCGCCCCTCTTCTGTCTCGCGGTTAAACTAGAATTGTAATAAATATTAAAACCTTGCACATATAGCTTAGAGAGCTTTTGCAGTAGCGTTATTATCCCCATTTTATAGATGGAATAAATGAGAGATTAAGTGGCTTGCCTAAAGTGCAGAGTGAGTCGGTTTGAGAGTGGAAAATAGGTCTTTTATATCTCAACCTTGAACTTTTCCTCGGATCTCTGTCTTGAAAAATTAAAGCATTTATTTATGCTTTGCCATTTATTCTGTTGCCTGATATAGGTTTGGCGTGTGCACTGTCTATATAAATTGGGTGATATTCTGCATCTAAATCTAAGGCCTATAAGTGCCATTTTTGAATGAAATATATATCATACTCCTTGGCCAGCCATGTACATATAGTGTGCGTTTGTCTAAGTCTCCTGTAGCCCAGCACCTTAGTCAAAAATTTCCTTTTTGTTGTTTGAACAGAGTGATCTACTTAAGGCCAAAAAGGAAGAGCCTGTTGGCCAGTTATTGCTTTGCAGTCCAGTTAGTCTAGTTTGCAGCCCTGTGTTTTAAGGACAGAATGAAACTTCTTGGAACCCTTTTTTAATTCTAAAAGGGATTTCAGGAACATTATGGGTGGTGAAAGAAACAGGTAAGTGAGGAAAATGACATGTTTCCCTGATGCTTTTGGCGTCCCCAAAGAATCCTAAAAGAAATTAAAAACTAACAGGATGTTTACATATTTCTTCTTTAGGCCTAAGCTGACAAAAATAGCTTTTGTTATTCTGGGTGCGAATAATTTGCACCTGCAGTTGCACTCATTTAGAGCCTAATGACTTGATTGAACCTTTAAAAAAGAAAAACATAAAAAACAAGGAATAGTTTTGCAGCACCTTAAAGACTAACAAAACATGTAGATGGTATCATGAGCTTTCATGGATACAACTCACTTCTTCAGTTGTGTGCCCACAAAGCTTATACTACCATCTACATGTTTTGTTAGTCTTTACGGTGCTGCAAAATTATTTGTTGTTTTTTATGTTTTTCCAATTACAGACTAACTCGGCTATCCCCCGAAGCTTTTAAAAACAGAGTACTGTATTTCAACGTGAAATAGGTGCAAAATAACTGGTGCAAATGCTTACACCTGCAGTTCCAGGACTAAAGAGTCCCAGTGGAGGGCTAGCAGCTGGGAGCCCTGTGGGCCATCTGCTCAGCAAGCTGCCAGCGGGACCAGGAGCCCGGTGCACCCCAGCAGGGCCGTGCCAGCAGGGCTGGGAAGCCTAGTGGGGCCGGCAGGGCAGCAGGGGCCAGTCACAGGCTCCAGCCATGACCAGGCCAACGTGGCGGAGGCGGTGGCAAGGGGACCAGAAATGACCTCCCGTGGTCCAGCAAAATCTCTCATCCTAAACCAGCTAGGTCCCAAGTATGCTGGACCAGGGAAGTACAACCTGAATCTGAATTATTCTCATTCACTTTAGCTGAACTGTATGGTATGGAAGTCTCTGCACGTGTCTTTTATTATTAACATGCTGAAGGGAAAGATCAGATTTTTATAATTATTGAAGTAGAATGACTTGCTGTATGTAAGATGTCTACTACTAGGCAGCTTACAAAAACCTCTTGTTTTAGCAGATTCCATGCAAGGCTTCACAGATGGAGTGTTTGTCTTTGAAGATCTTTCCATGGAAGATAATAAAACTATACGGGGCTATGATGCTATTGTTGTGGAACAATGGACTGTCCTGGAAGTAAGTATATCATTTACTATATTTTTTCCACCCTCACCATATTGTAATATTTTGCTAAATCAAAACCCAGCGAGATGGTGTAGTAGACTTTTATATATGTCAGAAATACCATATGGTTTACTGAAGTAAAGGAAAGAGGGTCTGAAAATTGAGTGTTGTGGTAAGTTAACCATAAGTGGGATGCATACACAGCTTGATAAGATTATGCATCTCGTGTTGCACATTGCAATTGCCAGCTATACTTAGGGGCATGGGTGGTGGTGACAGATAGAACCCGAGCCCCCTCTGTTTCAAAAACATATGCCTCTGCTACATGAACTATAAAGAGTCTCCATCAGTTGTCATGGCAACATAATCACAAATGCTAGCTCAAGTCCTAATATTACGTCCGTTACAGGGGAAGTGGTACTAAAAAGATAGCTGTCTTAGATAGACATAGATGCCAGGAGTACACATAGTGACTAGTAATTAGCTTTCTAGTGGCCAACACAAAAAGAACTGGCCAGACTGATGGTCAGCACACCTAGAGTTCAGTGTTTGCAGAAGGAGAGGAACAGGAATAGAGTGCAGAAAAACTTAGCATGCAGCATATATTGCCTTTTTATTATGAAGCCAGTAGAAAGACACTTTGGACCAGGCCCAACGGTGTAGTTCTCCAGGTACAGGCAAAACTGCATACAAGTATGCTAGTTCAGTTAACCTGAGCCTCCTCTAAAATGAAGGATCAAATGGAACAATGCATTTGTATTATTACTCACGTTTTACTTTAATTTGCCTTTTGTATGTCTGTTTCAGAGGTGCCAGAAAAAATAGCATGTATTTAAAAAGATAATGACTAAGGTTCTAGTTTGATATGCGGAGTAAGAGAGTATAAAATCCTGAGAGCAGCTTAAACAAAGCATGGTTCCACAAAAAGTATGCTTTAGCAAAAAATGTTGCTGGGCAACTACCAGTTTAAATGTGTAAAATTCTTACCAGCTAAAAGTGAAGTACCACTGTTGTTAGCCGTTTTCAAAAGATGAGCTCTGGCTTAGTGGAATGAAATGGCCATACAGTAATGTTCAGAGATCATATCAAAGAATAATGTGGGCATTCTGCTAATGGTTGGCCTTCTTATGGCTAAATATTTTTTGTCTTATGCTCACTCTTAATAAAGAGTCCTTTTTGCATTTGTCTATGACTAAATTGTGGCATTAAGTCAGAGCCCTGTGAAGAGTGTCCATGAGCCATTGCATCTCACAGAGGCATTGCATCCTAATGTGTACAATGCCTCCACATGTTCTTAGCAATTGACATTGCAGAAATTTTTATAGAAGCTGCGCCATCTGCTCCTTTCCAGGTTAAGGAGTTATGTCTGGTTTGAGGTGTCTGCTGCTTGTAACAGTACTACACAGAAGCAGTCCTCATACTAAGGAGCACACAGTAAAACTGTGGTCAGCCCTTATGTTTATGTAAGTGTGAGTCAGGGAGAGGGTTGTTTTTTTCTGACCTCAGTTGTCTTGCTTACTCAACTACAATGTAGCTTGCCTATGCTTTAAGAATGCATTTTAAAACCAAAAGCGACAAGGAGTCCTGTAGCACCTTATAGACTAACAGTTGTATTGGATCATAAGCTTTCGTGGGTAAAGCTTTCGTGTCACATGCATCTGACAAAGTGGGTCTTTGCCCACGAAAGCTTATGCTCCAATACAACTGTTAGTCTATAAAGTGCTACAGGACTCCTTGTCGCTTTTGCAGATCCAGACTAACACGGCTACCCCTCTGATACTTTTAAAACCAAGTTATTTTGGCATTTATTTTTGAAAGTGCTTGACTTTTTTCTTGATAAATATTCCTAATATATAACTCGAATTGTTAAGGAGAGGGTATATAAACAGGTAAAACTCTTGGAAAGGTACAAAGCCTTCCCTGTCTTGCTATAAACAATGCCTTACTTTGGTCTGCATAAATTTTAACTGTTCTGGATGTTAAGTATCAGGGACCTCAGAGAAAACAATAAATACTCATCTTGTGAATTTCCACAGGAAACTTTGGAAGTCTTACTGGTTTCTTTCAAGGTACAAACCTTAAAGCTGTATATTTTCTTTGCTATTATTGCTGTATAAATTTAAACATTTATTGCATTTTCTTTAATTCGATTGCAGCAAATTTGATCATTGATCATATCAGTTGAGTTTGTCTTGATAGATTTTTGGGTTATGTTTTCCTCATTGGATATGGCATGAGAACACTCCCCCCAAACCAACCAAGACTTTGAGAAGTGAAAATTGGAAGTGACTTCTGAAGGACTGGAAAGAATTCAAAAAACTTTTTAAAAAGGAGTAAGAAGGAACACATTTCAGAGGCCAGTGGGCCAACAAGCAAATACAACTCACTTAAAAGAATGCCATGTATATCCATATCCAGGGTGTGCTATTGTTTCAACCCTCACATTCTGCCTTTGTAATTGTCTATCAGACATAGTTGTTTTTCATGGAACTACATTGGGATGGGCTTTGGAGCCAGTGTTAATTGGATAATTTCTTCAAGTCTCTTGAGCACCCTTTTCTAGGGCCAACTTCTCCTCTTGAGCAAACACTTCATCAAAATGTAGAGTAAAATAGGTGCTTTGCATGTGGCATTGTTCAGGATATAGAAGAATATCTAGGCATAACTGTAGTATACAAGGTGTTAAAATCATCAGTATTCATACAGCAGGTAACAGGCATATCTGATGGGAATAACTGTCTGGGCCAAATTAATTCCTGGTGCAATTCCATTGAATTGATTGTAAAATGGGTCATTAATTAGTTAGGATGTGGATTTGAATTGGGAGGATCTAGATATGTATAACTCAGGTGCCATGGTTAGATTATCACCTGATGTAACTTGAGATCAGGATGGCCTGGATGCTATCGGGCAGCTCTGGTCCTCATGTTTATGTTGATCCTAAGAAACTCTTGCATCCAAACTAATTCAAGAAGATTAAGAGCCAATGAATTTATCATTTAAGTGGAAAAGTATCTCAGGGTATGTCTACACTACCCCCCTAGTTCGAACTAGCGGGGTAATGTATGCATACCGCACTTGCTAATGAAGCCCGAGATTTGAATTTCCCGGGCTTCATTAGCATAAGCGGGGAGCCGCCATTTTTAAATCCCCGCTGCTTCGAACCCCGTGTAGCGCGGCTACACGGGGCTCGAACTAGGTAGTTTGGACTAGGGTCCTATTCCGAACTACCGTTACTCCTCGTGAAACGAGGTGTACCGGTAGTTCGGAATAGGCACCCTAGTCCGAACTACCTAGTTCGAGCCCCGTGTAGCCGCACTACACGGGGTTCGAAGCAGCGGGGATTTAAAAATGGAGGCTCCCCGCTTATGCTAATGAAGCCCGGGAAATTCAAATCCCGGGCTTCATTAGCAAGGAGGGTATGTCTACACTACCCTCCTAGTTCGAACTAGGAGGGTAGTGTAGACATACCCTCAGAGGTTTGCTGGGAAGCCATGTAAACTAGCTGTCCATGACATTCTTTCCCTTAAGAAAGCCCAGCATTGGTGTTCCTATCATTCTGACTGTTTTGCTTAAAATCCCTGACTGAGATTGGGGCTGTACTATGCTAGGTTCAAACATATTAAAAAGGCAGTCCCTTCTCAGAAGAGCATATAGCCTAAACAGACAGGCTACGTCTAGACTGGCATGATTTTCCGGAAATGCTTTTAACGGAAAAGTTTTCCGTTAAAAGCATTTTCGGAAAAGCGCATCTAGATTGGCAGGACGCTTTTCTGCAAAAGCACTTTTTGCGGAAAAGCATCCGTGGCCAATCTAGACGCGCTTTTCCGCAAAAAACCCTCAATCGCCATTTTTGCAATTGGGGCTTTTTTGCGGAAAACAAATCTCTGCTGTCTACACTGGCCCTTTTGCACAAAAGTTTTTCGGAAAAAGACTTTTGCCCGAACGGGAGCAGCATAGTATTTCCGCGAAAACACTGACAATCTTACATGAGATCGTCAGTGCTTTTGCGGAAATTCAAGCGGCCAGTGTAGACAGTTGGCAAGTTTTTCCGGAAAAGTGGCTGTTTTTCCGGAAAAAGTGGCCAGTCTAGACACAGCCCCCAGGTAGAGAGTAGAAGTTGGAACAGAGGCAGAGAGAGGTAAAGTGAACGAGTCAGTGGAAAAGATAGTATGGGGACTGGGACAGGCTGGAAAACAAAAAATCAGTTTGGAAAAAATGTTGAGGTTTTGATTTTGTTTTCGTTCCACATCAGAAGAAACTTTTATGAGAATGAGAGACAACGCCTAGTGTGGTGATTATGATGCTTACTTGGAATATGGGGTATCCAGGTTTAAATCCCTGCACTGTCTGCTTCAAAGCGGAGACATCCATATCCCAAGTACGTGTCCTAATCTTTTGGGCTTTTAGAGTTAATCTCTCACTCTCTTCCCGAGAGTGGTTTGGTAGTTGGTAGTTTGGTAGAGTGGTTTGGTAGTTGAAAATATTCAGTGGTTCAGTGAGATTGACTCTATAGCCTGATGGTGAGGATACTCTGCTAGTATGTGGAAGGATCCCAGTGTAAGTCTTCTAAATTCAGAGCCAAGAATTGAACCTGCCTCTCAGATGAGTGTCAAAGCCAATATTATGTTTCAGTGAATAGGCATTTTCTGACAACAAAAGTTATGTAAAATTTCCTACCTGGCTTTAATTAGAACCTTGGCTGCCTGGCTCCTATGCCTGTCCAGTAGACCAAACTGCCTCTCAACCACACATTTTTAGAATTTACCTCTGTTCTTAGACAAATGCAGAGAAATCAAGTGGCAGAGAAGGATATCTGGAGAGAGAGGGACTTAAGGACAAAGATAACAGAACTCACTCACGCCGTGTCTATGCTGGCATGTTGTGTCGCCAAAACCCGCCTTTTGGCAACAAAACAGTACGGGTGTTTACACTACAGTGCAATGTTTATCAGGAAAAACACTCAGTTTTTTGGCACCAAAAAACTTTCATCCCTGGAAGGACTCTACTGT